ACAAAAGTGATCCTAGATTAGATTACATGTCACTATATCCCAGAGCTGACAAACTCTATAGGATCCCCGCTGTCACCGGGTCTGACCTGCTGTCACCAGGTTCCCAAGCACTTGTGGTATGCTGTCATGGCGAACCTCGTACGATCAAGGAACTGCCACTATGCTAGCAGAGGTGTAGGGCGTATAACTTTACGAGATTGACCCGTTCCTCTAACATGATCTTTATGAGGACTTCCAGCTCCGGTCATTTGCACATTCACCCCACAGCCGAGACACTATAGGACTCTACCCACTAATTGCGAAAATCATAAAAGCGAGAAAATAAATTTGGCAGCATAACAGTATATGAAATCGCAGTTTGCAGGAAAATAAATGGACAGAATAACGGTAAAGTAATTTGATTGAAATTGAAATTCGATAGAGTAACAGTAAAATAAACAAAACAAGTAATAAAATAAAAAGTATGGCTAGTGAATGGACAATAAACCTAAAATGGAACCCTAAAAACTAAGCTAAATGTGGAAGTGGGCTCTCTTGAAATGGTGAAAGGCTCCTCTACTTATAGATGCTGAGAACCACTGATGTGTACGCATAGAAGCTCTGAATGCGTACGCATCTGTGTCGAAACAGCCTTTTGGGCGTGCCTCCCACATATAGGATGTGTACGCATGGCTTTACTGATGCGTACGCATCTAGTCCAGCAATGGCCTTCTAGGTTTTGTTGCGATCCTTTCGTTCCTTTCGCTCTCTCCGGCCACTTCTGCTCCGAACTCCGCCTGTTATATCCTGAAACACTTAAGCACACACGTCAAGACATCGTGCGGAATGAGAAACAGTTCAAAACGTAGTAAATTTTGGCCGAAATAGCAGATATTACAATTACAGTGATGCGACAAATTCTTTCGTCACAATCTGGCAAGTGAACCGAATCAAGTAATACCACTTGAGAGTGGGTATCGTTCCCTCGAGGAAAGGGGGATCAAACAATATTTTTAATCACTTCTCTAAGTAGATCCAAATGACTAATCAAAAGATTAATATGAAACTAAAGAAATAAGCAAATAAGAGTGATGCAACAACAAGTATTCATTTCAAGAAACTCAATCTTTAATAACAATTTATCACTAATCAATAAGAACAATTATCAAGAAAGATGGAAATGCAAATGTAAGAAGCAAGATCAAGGAATTGGAGATATTCATCACTAATTTCATAAGCCAACCTTCACCATTCAATTTCTGCAATTATTATCAAATCAAAATGAACCCTAATATAACTAAATCCTAATCTCTTCGTGGTCTAGTTTCATCTTTATCCTAATCAATCATCAATCTCTTGACTAATTAAACAAGAAAAGAAATAATGCACACATCATGATTCAAATCAACAACAATCAACAAGATTTCATGGAAAGAATTAATATGTCACATATTCAATCTCATACAAACCCTATTAGATTATTCAAGATTCTAATACAAATCAAATCATAAGCTCATCTCTAAGTCACATGAAAAAACATGGAATGATTCTTGAATTTGTTTGAATGCCTATTTTCTCAAACTCAACAATTCAAAACAAGAAAGATCCAATTACTCGTCAGTAAATCAAATCTTTAAAGAAATCATGACAAAGAATCAAACAAGAAACGAATCAATCATTTATGTGACAAAGAATACAGATTCATATAAGTGCACACTCATTCAATTCATCATCTCTAATGCAAGAACAAATGTGAAGGATGCTTCTTGAATAGATTTATGATATCAATGTTAATGCAAAACCAGATTTTATGTCACATATCCAACTAGACATCAACAACAACATTCATAAACCATTTAATAATATGTTTAATCTCATGAACTAGTATAGAAATTAAACCAAGGTAAGAACCAATTATACCTCTCGGTTAACTTGATTCTTGAATTGATGAACAAGAAGAATCCTTTGGATTTGATGTAGAACATGCAGATTTTGAATGGAAGGTGTGGTTAATCCATTAGCTTGGTGATGAATAGAGCTCATCCTCCTCAATCTCTATGGTGTTTAGCCACTCATGATTATGAATGACTCAAATATAGTGATGAAGATGGATCTTGGATTCATAAATCTTGAATCTTGGAAGGATGAATGCTATGAATGTGAATCTTGAATGTATGAACATTCAAAGATTCAAAGAGCGAAAGAGAGAGAGAGAGAATGAAAGCTAAGAAAGAGAGAGATTAAAAACTGAATTGCCTCATTGATTGATTGATTGAAAATGGATTACAAAACAATCTATATCTAAGTGGAACTAAAATTGATCTAAGATGTAAAGTGGTGTCTAATCCTTGATGTTCCACCTATTTATAAATTTAAGATCACCTAAATGAAATACAAATTCATCTAGAATGAAATTACAAATGAAATTAAGAATGAAATTACACATAAATATCAAATCAGCATTAAAATAGCTATGAGACTGATTTCTAGCGCCTAGGCATTGAGTTGGGCGCCTAGGCGCTGAAACAGCCTAAATCTGATGCTTGATGCTGAACCTGGCATGTTGGCACTGAGTATGGGCGCCTAAGCGCCAGTCTGGCTAACCCTGGAGTGCTGTTGGGCGCCTAGGCGCCAGAACAGGGGATCCTGACTAGGTGCTTGGCGCTTGGAGCAGCTGCTTGGTGCATGGGTAGATTGTTGGGCGCCTAGGCGCCAGAATGGGTGCTGTTTGGGCGCCTAGGCGCCAGAATGTTGCCAGTGTGGTGCTGAGCTTGATGCATGGGCGCCTAGGCACTGGGATGGGCGCCTAGGTGTCCAGTTCTGCCTCCAAATCCATGTTTTCATGCTCTTTCGGCTTTTTCTCTTAAAATTAACCAACAAAATACTCAAAGTACCATATTTATTCAATAATAATTAATTTACATGTATTCTTACTAATTTATGAATTTATTAAATAAATAAACAAATAAATTACGGAATTGAGTATGATTTAGTTAAAGAAATCATTAAAGATGCTAATGCATCACAACACCAAACTTAAACCTTGCTTGTCCTCAAACAAGTCAAAATCATTCTCAATTCCTTTGCCATTAGTATTGGGGTTTTATTTAAGTTTAAATACTAATTGACTCTTAATCCAAATCATCTATTAGCCATTGATTTTTCTTAGACTTAAAAAGCTTTGTTTATTTCAGAACTTGTTGCTTAAGTAACATAGTGATCTACCTTTTCAGACTTTTTGGAAAACTCTCTCCTTTTTCGCTTTTCTTTTTCTTTTCTTACCCTCCTTTAGATGGGTTTTGACTCTAACGGTCTTGTTATTTGGGAGACTCTTTTAGAATAAGCTTTCAATCAACAATCCCGAACCTCATCAGCTCAAGTTACTAGGTGTATAAGCACCCCATTGGATTTACTAACTCAGGCCATTCCCTATAACAATCTGACACAAGCATTGGTCTTTTTAATTTTTCAACCTTTCAGCTCATTTGTCTTATTAAGGCAGCTATTGATAGTGGGCTTTCGATCAACAATCCCGAACCTCATCAGCTCAAGTTGCTCGGTGTTGAAGCACCCCATTGGATCTAGACCCTAGCCTCTCCTTAACACAATCCAGCCTTCAGTATTTATTATATTTAGGGCCATTGATGCTCAGAGCCTTATTACTTTTTGCTTTTGAAAAGAGCTTCCTCATTCTTTATTAGTATTTCAGAAAGTTACAAACTCAACAAGCCTTACTTACAACACTTCCTAAACCCTTAAACTTTCTCAAACCTCTAGCTTCAAAGAATTAAAAACAATTATTATTTATACCCTTTATCCTCCACTAACATTAAGCAAAATCCTTAGTCCTGATTTATAGCATACTTAATTAGCAAGACATGATTCAAGAAATATGTCGAATGCATAATCATACATTAAAGACCCTTCGAAACCTAAAACATACATCAATTCATTATAATTAAGGTAAGGCATACAAATAAGTTCACTTAGAATAATTAAAAGCAACATACATGATGGATGAAATGAGATACTAAAGAGAAAAGAAAGAGAGGTAAGAAAAGAGCTAGACGACCTGATCCTAATTGGAGGAACTGCTAATGGTGATCATGCTGATTTGGTGCTTGATCAGGTGTAGGTGCAGATGAGGATCCCACTTCAGCAATGATTTCCTTATGACAAATAGTTTCTTCATAGAGTTTTTTTTTTGTTGAAGAGAGTTCTGAAGCGGTGGTTGTCAAGAGCATTGGCTTCAGATGATGATGAAGAGGCCATGATTCTGCTAAAAAAGTAAGTGAATG